AGAAGTCTAGGAGTAGTGAGTAAAATAAGAGAGGCCATGTCATGCTGCTCAGACAATCAGAAAAGGGTAAGTTGGCTAATAAGAATTGAACATTTGCTTTGACAAGAAGGTGAGAATAGTTTCAGAGAAGCAGAGGAGATGAAAGCTGGATTGGAGTGGGTTGAGGAGAAAATTGGGAAGAGAAAATGAGTTGCTGCTGTTGTTGTTAGGTGCCCGTCTAGTCAAATCCAACTTATAATGACCCTTTGTACAACAGAACGGAACAGAACTTATCCCCATGGCTCAATTTTCAGCCAAATGATAAAAAGGCTCATAAGGTGAACAACGGAAGGAAGATTGGGCAAAGTACTTCCATTGAGATACTGTCTCAGAAACCCAAGGAGAGGTGGCTATGAGTCAGAACAGACTCAGCAGTAAGTTTGGTTTGGATTTTTTTGGTTAAGGTGAACAATAACTCCAGGGAAGTATGCACTCATTAGAGTAATCAACCATTTAAGATCAAAAGGGCAGAATTTGCCCAGGGATAAAGCTGAGATGGTGGGAAAGGGTAGGAAAGCTGGAAGAAGGGGAGGGGACTAAGGGAAATGGTAAGCCAAGGAGGAAATGGGAAGAGTGCTGCAACAATGTGGCGATTGCAATCAATGTCACACAACAAAATGTGTATGAATTGTTGCATGGAAAACCAATTTGTTCTGTAAACTTCCACCCAAATCACCAGTTAAAAAAAAAAAAAAAAAGAGTTCCTTTTCATCAGTGTTTTATAACCTTGGCTACGTATCAGAACCACCTATGACTTTTACGAAACTATTGTCAAGTTACCCTACCCTAGAACAGTTAAATCAGATATCTAGGGACAGAGATTAGGCATAATAATAGTAGTAGTAATAGTTGATAACACTCACTAAGCACTTATTTTGTGGAGGTATTGTCATGACAAATACTTTTTTACAAATTATTAATTAACTCCTCACAACCACTCTATAAGCAAGTACTGCTATTAACCCATTAAGATGAGAAAACTGAGACCAGTAACTTTCCCAAGCCACGGTTGTCTAACACCAAAAATACTATGAAAATCAGCCTCCATCTACAAACGCAGTAATATTATTGTGAAGATCTAAGGAATTTGGTCCACTAAGGAATTTGATATACCACTGAGCAATCCTGGCAATAACAATTGTGGGTGCAGGGAAGAAAGATTAAAGTTGTTAATTAATAGCAGCATGACAATGAAAGAAAGATAATTTTCATCATTGAATTGGGATTGCATCCAATTAAGGAATGATTTCTTCTTTTTCCTAATAGTTTTATGATCTTACACAAATTACTTAGCTTCTTTGAACCTCATTTTGCTCATCTGTGGTATGAATTTCACTCATTGGGTTATCAGAGTTTAGGGGAGATATTGGACTTTACATTTCTTTTGTTTGGTATGTGATTAAAAAATTTCTTTTCCTCAGTAAAGTTTTTTGAAAATTTAAATGTAGTCAAATCCTTTTCCCTCAACCTTCCACTTCTCTTCCAATGAAAACAGTATGTGTGTGTGCATATATGCATACGTACACACATATATGTACATATGCATATGTGTATGTTGTTGCTATTAGGTGCCATTGAGTTGGTTCTAACTAATAGCAGCTCTGTGTACAACAGAATGAAACACTGCTTGGTCCTGTGTCATAAAAACTAATATACATAAAACCTTAATCTTTTCATCAAAGTTATTTGAAAAGGTAGTGAGGTACACTATGGTGGTAGATAAGGTATTATGTGGCTCTAGTAGGGGCACTGAGGGGAGAGTAGACTAGTTGATAAATGTATACTGTTCTCCTGGCTATGTAAAGGGTAACTACCTCTGGTTATTTTTGCTAATTGTAACAGAATAAAAATAATTGCAAGTGAATAGATATATTCCTAGAGCCAGAGACTTTGCTGCTTTGAATATACAATATCCAGAGTCACAGTTGGGAGTGGTTTTACAACCGTGATTAAGTTTGTGACAGTCTACAGTCATCATTCACAAGCTATCTTGCTTCTCACTAGCCAAATGTCAAAGTTAAGCAGGAGCGTGGTAACAATCACAATCCCCGAGTATGTTATGTCTTGAGTATAACCCAAATCTTTGCAACACTTAAGGAATTTGAACTTAATTTTGCTTTACTATATTGGTGGAAGAAGGAGCTGTGGTGGTGCAATGGTTAAACACTCAGAAGCTTAACTCAAAAGATTAGCAGTTTGAACCCAGCAGTAGCTCCAAGGGACGAAAGACCTGTCAATCTTCTTCTGTAAAGTTTTAAGTTTACAAAACCCTGTGGAGAAGTTCTACTCTGTCTTATTCATTCACAATAACACAACAACAATATTTCTAGATAAGAATGGGTAATTTTAGGGTCTTTTGCTCAGCCATTTCTTCCATAATAGCTTGTTGTCTTTATGTCATAGAATCTACGTGAGGATTCTCAGAGATTTTAAGTGTATTTGTTGTTACTATTGTTAGTTGTTGTTGAGTCAGCTCTGACTCATGGAGACTTTGCATATAATGACTGATATACTTTATATAAAACAAAACTTGCCTGGACCTGCACCATCTTCATAACTGTTCACTGAACCATTAGCTGGATTCTGGGGATACCTTCCAAGCCAGAGATCTCAGAGTGCTTTTGTTTGCACCCTGAGAGGTCTAAGAAGACAATGTTTTGTTGTAATCTAATTTTGTTAAGAAGACAATGTTCTACTGTATATGGTTTCAATGTCTGATTTTTGGAACTAGATCACTAGGCCTTACTTCCTAGTCTGTCTTAGTCTGAACGCTCTGCTGAAACCTGCCCATGATGGGAGACCCTGCTGGTATTTAAAATACTAGTGGCATATCTTCTAGCATCATAGCCACACAGTGTGATGATACTATATTTAGTTCTACTTTATATTCTGAAACTGGACAAATAAGCACAGGATAGTTCCTTAATCCCATTGGAGCCCTTAGAAAGATGTATTTGGGCCAAGACTCCATTTCTTTGACCTCTAAAAGTCCTAAGGAGCTCTGGTAGCACAGTGCATAAGGCATCTGACTGCTAACTAGAAGGTTGGTGGTTCAAACCCACCAGGCACTCTGCAGAAGCAAGACTGTAGTAATCTACATCTGTAAAGATTTACCACCTCAGAAACCCAGTGGGGGATGTGTCACTATAAGTCAGAATTGACTCGATGGCAGTGGGTTTGGTTTGCTTCTATAAATCCTACTGTGATCTGTATACCATGGTGGCATTTCAGGTCTTCAGGGATTAGTATTAGTTCTAAGTCATATTGTAATTATCAACAAAAAAGTATTATTTTTTTTTAAATATCCTTTATCAAACAGCATATATATATTGGTGAGTATAGTGTCATTTGCCTGCCCACACCTGTTCAGCTTGTGTGTCCTTCTATGAATCTACTCATAGATTATTATTGTTATTGTTACTGCAGGATTGTACATGTAAATTGTGTTACCTTTGTTGCCTTTAACTCTTGTGCTCTTCCAATGTCTTCCTTTGCCTTGATCATTTTGTGCCAACTTCTCCCTTATTGTATATTAATTTTTCCTTCACCCAAATTAATATGTATCTACCCTTCAGTTAGTGATTCACTCTCCCTTCCCCTCCTAATACCTCTTTCTGTATAAAAACCTTTTTTTGGTTTTTTATAATAATGGTGTCATACAAAATTTATCCTTTTGTGATTGACTACTCTCATTCAGCACAATATCCTCCAGGTTTATCTATGTCATGAGGTGTTTCACAGATTCATCATTATTCTGTAACATTGCATAGTATTCCGTTGTGTATATGTACCATAGATTGTTTATCCATTCATCCACTGATGGGCATTTAGGTTGTTTCCATCTTTTTGCTATTGTGAATAGTACCACAATGTACATGAGTGTGTATATATCTATTTGTGTCATGGCTCTTATTTCCGTAAAGAATTTCTTATTTCCTATATTCTTCTGAGGGAAGGCTTGGAAAAAGTTCCATGGAATAAAAACCTATGACTACATTGCTAGGTCCTTTCCTCCAGCAAAGTGGCCTTTCCCCCACCCTTCCAGCTGTGGGACCCCAAGTCAGAATTGATTTAATTCTAGGAACTGAGGGTTTGTGAATTATTACTATGGCAATTAGTCTCACATTTCTGCCACCAGATGTAGAAATGTGTAGTTGTTGTTAGTTGCTGTCAAGTGCTCAACTACTAAAACACTACAAATTTGGGTCATTTGAATCCACCCAGAAATACATCAGGAAACAGCCTGGTGATGTGCTTCTGAAAGGTCACACCTTTGGCAATGCTACTGAGCTGTTCTACTCTGCGCACATGGCGTTACCATGAGGTTGATATGTATGTACTTTTAGTTACCTTTGACATTATGGAACCCGCTTTCATTGCAGAATCCCTCCCTGTCATCTTTGGCTTACGGATGTCAGCCAGAAGAGAGCTTCTCAAGGATGTAAGTACATACTCTCACCAGCAGGTTTTCTATTGCTTTGGTAAAGAAAAGAATTTGTGAACCCTCTGTTTTAAAAGTTTTAAACACACTTATTCATAGAAATGTCACAAAATCTTTAAGCACATGTTTTCAATGATGATAACCAAATATGTACTTGTAATAACAATAAATTATCCTCAAATCCGTGAGGATGAAGGTAGATGGGGTGTTGGTCAAGGAGGGGAAATGTGTCTAAAAGCAATTAGATTCTTGTAGAAAAAACAAAATAAAGACTACATTAGATTCAGTATTACATTTTTGTCTATAGTTAACAGCTATTTCATTTCCCATCTTCCTTATCTGCCTTTAATTATTCCAATAATAGCAAATTTAATTGATGAAGATGTTGGGATATATTCAATAAAATACTTTTTCAAAACTTGTGTGATCATTTAAAGTAAGACAAAGCACTTTTACAGTTATGTGTTTTTAAGTCACATCCCTTTTCTCTTGAGAGGAAACATCACCATAAAAGGATATTTTATTTTATTTCTGAAGAGCACTTGCAGGTAGCTTGACAGTTTTCTTTCATTAGTGTTGTATCACAGCCTTCTACTCTGAGTATATCGGCACAATTGCTGTACTTATCCACATACATGCAGGGATTGGCTAAAATTAAAGAAAAGGCAAATAAAATACGGCCTGTTGGATTATAGTATTACGTAGTCTGAAGTAGATTCTCTCGTGGAAAATCCACTTTTTATATTTTCTTTTATTCAAAGCTCACTACATAGGCTTATATTGCTGGATAGACATACCTGATATGTCAGACAACAGAGTTCTCATAACACAGAGCTTTATGGAAACAAATATATTCTATACACTACTCCAATAAGATGTACAATGATAGAAATAACTTAGTTACCAGGATATTTCAGCTGCTATTTATTTAGTCCTGTGTGTGTGCTGCCATACATGCTAATGCAATGAGAGGGTTGTACAAAAGGATTAAAAGTAGCAAATGGAGAACATAAACTCAGATCACAATCCATTCAACAAAATGTATAGCTTTGCACAAAGTTGCAACTATCTAAAAAGATAGTACTATTTACCAGTAGTGACTCTTGTGTGTATATTTATGTATGCATGTGTAGTGTCTGGGATAAACTGAGGACTTTGAGGAATATTCAACACAAATGCTTAAAATAGCCTGAAGATCTTTCCACAGATATACCACCTTAGTAACCCAAGAAGGGGTCACTATGAGTCAAAATTGACTCTAAGGCAGTGAGTTTGTTTTGTTTTGTTGTTTGTTTGACTCTCCAAGCAGCTATTATGAAGGGATCAAGTGATGTAATTGCAGAGTAGATGTGTTCTCATGCATGCATGTGTGTTAGGGCTAGGGTATGGGAAGAGGGTGGTCAAAATAGGGAGAAAAGTACCAAGTTTCCCTTTTATTTAAGAACAAGAACAGATCAATCTGAACCTATCAAAGATTGTATAATCGATTAGTTTTCTTAGCCTTTGTCTTTGCCCTACCTTAC